CTCTCTCTCTCTCTCTCTCTCTCTCTCTCTTTCCACTCTACGTTTCTATTGAAAACCCCCCAAAAACAAACAACAACCAAAAAGCAACTCACCACACACCTACTCCACTTCTACATTCACTTCCTCACCCTCCCTCAATCCATGTGGTTGAAAGATGTAGCCTATCAGATGTGAAGAGTGTTTTATTATTATCGACTTTATTATTTTCTCTTCATCGTAAATTTTTATCAAAGTTATATAAGATTTAAATTCTATGTATATCTGCATGTGTTTTTACCATTCCTGTACAGCCAAGAAAAATTCCAATTGAGAGAATAAAGTGTCATCTTTTGTTCTGTTCTCTTCTGTTCTCCTATCTTATCTTATCTTATTTTATCAGATTACCCTAGCCGACCTGGTTGTCTTCGAGACTACCCAGATGTTGTCGGAAAAGGAACCACAGACTCTGGACAAGTATCCCGAAATCAAAGCCCTGAGAACGAAAGTAACCGGATCTGACGGAATCAAACAGTACTTGGCGACCAGAAAACCAACGCCTTTTTAGATCCTGTCATGTCTTTGCATTCTGAGCCAACAGATATTTCATGACCCGAGAATAACAAGGTTCTACCTCCAGAGTTTTCGTTTTTAGAGCTATGTTTTTTGTACTAGTAAGAGTTTTACGGCACTTGCAACACAATTATTAAGTCATACAAATGCCGAAGATTAGATGTGTTACAAGAGAGTAACAAACACAAAAAGGAGGAGATATAGATATAACAATGATAGATGGTTGATAGGAAAAAAGGAGCAGACCACATTAGAGCAACCCCCGACCAACCATGTGTTAGGAGTTAGAAGTGTCTGGGGCCTACCCCTGTTCTTCCTCCTCATCATATATTATAAAAGTTATAGCTTCAAATCTGAAATTTATGAAATAAAACTTGCTAATTTTTCTCTTCGTTTGTAGGGGGATATCAAGTGGGTGAAAAGTTGAACTTAAATACCTCAAAAGATAGAATCTTGTTGCTATTGGGTCTCGATTTGTTTTTGTTTTTGTTGTTGTTGTTTTTTTCGTTATTTATCATGACACAATTAATCGGCCATATTTCTGTCTGAGGAGAAGAAAAGCCCAATCCTTGATTACAATTATAACCTGTGCAATAATGGTGTTGTCCGTATTTGACCCAGACAATATACAAGGTAAGGCCAGTCGCATGTGAGGGTCATTTCAGTATTTGATTAAAAATAAAACAACAATGTCACAAGGTCAACAAACGACTTTAACAACGCCCATGCTCTTCGATTGTATGCCCATTCCTTCATAGGAAAGATATACAATCAAGAACCTCTTCTGAAATGCATTATCCTACTCAACATGAGAATGCCATGACAGGCGAGATCGAAACATCCCGCTTCTAAAATGGTCTAAATTGTGTCGTTAGAGGAGTAAACCATTCACCGTCGATGAATCGACAGGATGACCACGGCCTTGACTCTAGTTGCGATGGTTGAGTCGTTCATCGATGACATGATAAGAGATTTCACTAGTCCACATTTGTACAACTGTGTTTACTGGCTTTTGACAGCCGTCTTCAGACATTCGAAAGAATAAATAATCCCGTATATCATTTTCAATGCTTTCTTCAACTGCTTCTCTTTTTGTGTGCCTATGTTTCTTTTTATTCTTAGCAGGTACTAAAATCACATTGTTGATAAGTGTTGTTGTATATGTTACAATCAGTTCGAAAGAGACTTCTTCGAGGAAGAGACAAGCAGGGTTGGAATTCAGACAGGGCAACGCTCGTGGGTTTTGAACAACAACGAATCACCTTAAAAAATTACACCGATGTCAAAACTCAGCGATACACAACTTCCCTTTCAATGTCAAATCTTTTAACGTAGGTTAGGGAACATGAAAGTAACACTGCCATCATCTAGAAGTAGCCCTCATGTGGCATTTTGACAGAATCGTTTATTAACACCCAGGACCAAAATCAAACTAGCAATCAAACAAAAAACAAAACAAAAATGAAACAAACGATTAAAAATCCAAATAATAAAACAACCCGAAAAAAAGGAAGAAAAACACAAACAATAAATAATGGAGTGAACGATCTTGTAATTTACAACCTTTGGTGTGTGTGGTGTTGCACCAAACTCTATTTATCTCGACCCACACACCATGTCTGGGCTTGCGGTTTACCCAGTTGGTACATGTATCATGAAGGACTGATAATTTATATTATGTGGTCGACATCCTATTTCAAACTCATGACCTGACGTTTTTGAAATTTGAGGTGTTTGGGGGAATTTTCTAAGCCCTGTATCTACTTATAGTTTGCTCCGATCGGACATGAACGTTGAATTCGGAGGTTCAGCCTCTTAAATTTGAATTACCCAAAAGAGCCCATCCATGTGTATACCCATCAAAAACCAGCACAGTAAACAGTTTTACTGCTGAATCTCTGCAGGTTGTCATGGTAACACACCAAAAACTTCCTTACAGAATGAAGAATTATTTCAGCCAGGCTAACACTTTATTGATTACACTCTATGCTCGACTCCCCTCTTATGGCAGGCTCAGATTCCGTTTTATACTGTGTGTAGATCGTGTCTTCTCAGCGAAGTACAGATAAGTTGTTTGCAGGTTGGGACTAAACTGGAAACAAGCATCATTGTTTTCTCTCTTTCTCTCTCTCTCTCTCTCTCTCTCTCTCTCTCTCTCTCTCTCTCTCTCTCTCTCTCTCTCTCTCTCTCTCTCTCTGTCTTTCTCGTTCTCTCTTCCATACGTTAAAAGCAATAGAGGCGTTTCAAAGTGGCGCAAAAAACGTTTAATTTGAATTTACAATAAAGATATTAGGTTCATGCTTCAGAATAAACGAGTCATTTTGAAGAGGAATTATATTGTATAAAAAGGATTTTAAAAAAGATTGGAAGGGAAAATGGTAAAAGGAGGGAAGGACGAAAAAAAGGGAGGAATTGAAGAAGGAGAAGAAGGAGAGGAAGAAAGGGGAGAAGGAGGTGGAAGAGAGAGAGTGTGTCTTTACGTGTGTTCGTGCGCGCGTGTGTGTGTGTGTGTGTGTGTGTGTGTGTGCGTGTGTGTGTGTGTGTGTGTGTGTGTGAGAGGAAGAGTTAAAGAAAGCGACGAGAAGGAGTTGGGGAAAATATAGGAAGAAGATTTTAAAAAAGTGTGGGGAGGAGGTGGCAGGAGGAAAGGAATTGGAAGAAAATTGGGACAGATAGGGAAAGAAGATGGGAATGGAAGGCGGATGGGAAGAGAGGGGTAAAGAGTCAGACAAAATGTGAACTAGAATGTGGTAAAATTACAGAAAAAAACCACGATATAACAAAGGTCGATTTTTGGTTTTTAAGCCTACTCCGTCACAATGTGACCTGTTTAAACAACAGGCTACACGAACTAACACCAGACTCCGATGGGAGGGAATTCGGAAGGTTAGAATGCACCAGGATACGAAATTCCGAAAATAAAAAGTTATTTTAGGATTATGATCTTTGGTTTCCATCTCTACTGTGATAAAAGAAAACAAACATATTGACAGGAAGAAACACACACACACATACACACACACACACACACA